CAGCCAGTCTGTTGGTGACAGCTGCAATCTTGGTTGGGTTGGGGTTGGCTGCTCTTTGGAGCTTGTTAAGTCTGTTTTTTATTAAAAGCGATATCTTTCTATTCTTGCGGCGCAGTAGCGAAGTGGTAAGAGAGAAAGGTGGTGGTGCGGTGCAATAATAATAAAAAGTAAAACGCCTCGAAGGGTTGAATTGGACTCATGTGAATGCACTGATCTTGAGAGACCAAGATCGCATATAAATGATTCCATTTTATCATCGTTATCATCAAAACTATGTTTCCGCCATGAAGATCGCAATGAACCAAACCCACATTATGAATATTGATCATATAGGATGCAATATCCATCAAACGCTCTAATTTCATCTTCCACGTCAATTTGTTGATATTACGATCCAAATAAGATGAAAGACTACCCCGGTTAGCATATTGCATAACAATTATGTACTCTTTCGTTTTTGGGTCTTGTGTGACTCCATAAATTTTAAGGAAAGAGCTACGCCTCTCTACGCACTTGGCGTGATTCCTGAACTATTAAATGATAATAATAATACAATAAATATAAAAACCACTCTAATTAATAATAATGATGGTAAAGTATTAGTATGCTTACCTCAGAAATAAATAGTTCCATTGTTTCATCAATATTCTTGAAGCGTTTAAGGACGACAGTTTGTGGTATACCCCTTCTACAATTGGCCATATAAATTGTTCCATAACCACCAGCTCCAATCTTTTTAATTTCATAAAAATCATCATACTCCATATACTTGACACTTTGATGACGTTGTATAATTATGAACGTGTTTCGTGGTAGAAAACTAAATAATATTCCTGAGTAGATGTTCTCGAGTGATTCCAGCTATCGAAATATTCCCAGGAGTTAATATTTCTGGATATTCTTTAATTATCTATTTGAGTAAATAATGCAATCATTACAACCAATTAAACGCATATTTAATACCATTGCAATATTTTACACGTGAACTGTTTACCTGATAAAAATCAAACGACTGAGCGCTCCCTTCATGAGATATTTATTTGAGCATCATTCTCGTCGATTTACCCACTGTCGGCTCTAACCAATCTGCTACATGTGTGCATCCATGGCGTAATGATGTCATTTCTTGTATGTTGGTCAATAGAGAGTACTCGATCCATCGTATATACGCATCATTTGTGTTTCTCGCATTCTTCCATGATTCCATAATAAATGAATCCAACGAGTTGTTGCCTGTAGTCCAGTTAGGAGGTTGTGGGGCTTTACAAACAAGACAGAATGCATTTATCTCAGGTTTTAATCTTATTGTACACCCCAACTACTAATGTTAGAAATGTTTACGCTCCAGCAGATCACACATCCCAACGCACATTCTGGACCTCCTTCCCTCCCCTCCCCTCAGCACCCCTCATTGTAGGCAGAGATCTCAATGCAGTTCTTACTGCTGAGGACCATCAATCATCAACACACTGGAGACGGGTCCCTCTAGGACCATACATCCTCCCCCACCTCAGCAACCTAATTGACACAGGAGCGACCACAGCCAAACCAGCATTTACCTCCTATCACCACAATGGCAACAACTGGTCC